TAAATTTTCGCGTTTTTCGGGCGAAAAAAAAATCTCCGAACAGTTGTTGGTGGTTTTGCTTATTATGAGTCGGAGATTTTTTTTCCCCCCTGAAAAACGCGAAAATTTCATTGTTCTACCCCCTAGCACCCTCTTGGACCAATCTNGAGCCAACAATTTTTTTTTCTTTCACTTCAAGGAAAATCAATTTTTGCACCCCTCAAACATCAACAAGTAATGGTTCCAGAGGGGTAAGAATCTTCATGAATGCAGAGGGGTAGTGTCTGAACATTTTCCGATGTCGATAATTGATTTTTACCCCGGTTTTTGAATCATGTGTGCACTGGGCCCCAGGGGATCATGATACGCCCCTGTTCTGCTGCCAAGTCGGCTGCTAACTTCAGCGTCATTGCATACAGACATGACTGTAAAAACATAATTTCTCCACGTTTCATGACATTCTACATCATTTCCGATCAAAATTAGCGAATCGAAAAATCCGTCAATTACAAGGCTTCCATTCGGAAGGAAAAAAAACAATTTTATGGTCGATGAGTTCTTAACTCAGATAGATTTGAAAATCATTGATAGAGTTACGAAATTGATGAAATTTCAGATTTTTAGCTTCGTCTTTACTCCTTTTTGCTTCCGAATGAAAGCTTTGAAAATGCATTTTTTTCTCGATTCTCCAATTTTGTTGGAGATGACTCAGGGTGGTGTGAAACGTAGAGATATGATTTTTTTAGAGAATGTCTGTATGTATGTGTGTATGTATGTGGATTCGTTTAGAAATGTGCCTCTAATTCCAGAACAATAATTACAAAAAAGCTGAAATTTTGGCTCGGCTGGTATCAATGAGACACAAATCTGTACTGATTTCTCAAAAATCGCTATATCGTTATTTGCAAATATCTCAGGTATGGCTGGACCAATTTCATTTTTTTTTCAAAATATTCGTCACGATGACACCTATGTCATCGCATGGGAATTTAGTCACTCCGCCATGGAAAATTGAGTTTTATTGTCATGTTTTCATTTTTTCGACGAAATCGATTGTTACCACGATTATTTAAAAAATAATCGAGATAGAAATTTCACACTCCATATGATTCTAGGTCTTATGATAACAAAGTTTGGTTTTTTATTTTTAACAATATCTCAAAAACCACTCAGCCGAATTCAAAATTATTTTTTAATATTCGTTATAATGGTTGCTATCTGACTCAATCAAAATATGAGTACCATTGCATTGAAAGTTTTTGAGATATTGCCGTTTTTCTATTTTCATGGGGTCAGCTTGCTCATGCGTGCTAGAATGTG